CCAGAAATAATTACACGGAAACTGTATTCTTTCAAACACTGCCTGGCCCGGATAGTTCCAGTTCCTTATGGCTAGCTCTTACATATTGTTCTAACCCATTTCTAATATTCTGTGTAGCCCACGAGCTGGCTTACCAGGGAGGATCTTAACCTGCGTCTGTCTGGAACGGGAGAACCATGGCGACTCCTCACACAGCTTCTTTTTCCCAGCATTCTCCTCTGTCTACTCCGCCTACCTAATTTTCTATCCAATAAAATGGGCCAAGGCAGTTTCTTTATTAATAAGAAATCACTCCCACATCACATGTGTATGTAGGAGGTGTGGATGTACATATATGCATGTGCATATGCAGGCCTGAGAGAAAACTCAGGGGATGTTCTTTGGGATTCATACATCTTGTTTTTTTAGAAACAGGGTCTCTTTCTAGGACCTAGGGATGCCCAGTTAGTCTAGGTTGTATCCATCAAATCACAAGAATCATGCCTGTCTCTGCCTTGCTTGAATTCAAGCTTATGCCACCATTTCTGGCTTTCAAACATGTGGATTCTTGGGATTGAAGTTGGTTCTCATCATGCACAACAAACGTTTAACAGACTGAGGTATCTCCCTGGCCCAGGAAAAAGGCTTTAAATGACTTTGGACAGAATCTGGCCAGATGTATGGGCAAGTGAGAGTCCACGAATGTTGAACTTCACAGCAATTCTATCCTGGAGGAAAAGGTTGGCAGCAAATAATTGTTATCAAAACTTTTGGCAAAGATATATTTGATTTCACCACAAGAAAGAATTTCTGGCCATATAGTAGTTATGCAAAAAAATAAATAAATGTATTTTCTGTGAAAGACTGGGTATTTTGCTTCCCAAACATCTGTTGTATTCAACCTGACTTCAGTCAGATGACAAGTTCTCTCCTGTTTGGACAGGCCTTAGAGAGGCCTTGGGGTCTGTGTCATTTGACTTGATTCATTTCTGCGCACATCTCTGGCACATACTCTAAGGAGACACTCTTCTTCATTGTGAGGTTAATTCAAGGAGGTGAGTCACATAAGGAAGACAGGGCAAGGTGTCCACATCCCAAACTTGCAATCTGACACACTCTCAATAAGTAGAGAGTATAATGAGGTCATATCATAGAAAACATAGATCTTGCTGATTCTGTTCTCATTCTTCCATGACAAGTTTAAATCTCTCTCAGAAAGTGTATCCTGACCACCCAGGCCTAGACTCTCTTTGTCCAACTAGCTCCTATCACACTGAAGACTGAAGATGCTAATTGGCCGTTTTGGGGTATCTTTACATCAAAGAATTCTCATATTATCATGCTATTAACTTGAGAGTATGCTTCTGCTGGTGATGATGGTGATGTTGGTGATAATGATGGTGATGGTGCTGATGGTGGTGCTGCTACTGCTGATGATGATAATGATGTTGATGATGATGATGGTAGTGGTGATGATGGTGATAGTGGTGATGATGGTGGTTGTGTTAATAGTGATGATAGTTAATAGATGATAATCATGATGATGTTGTGTTCCGGCACATGCAGCTACACAAGCATGTGGAGCTCAGAGGTCAATCTTGGGTATATTTCCCCACCTTTATTTTGAGACATGTTTTTTTTAAAAACTCTCCTGGAACTCACCAAATAGGCTAGATTGTCAAATCAGCGAGCCTCAGAGATCCATCTTTCTTCACCTCCTGTTAGCTGGGTTTAAAGGATGTATCATCACACCTGAGGTTTTGGTTTTGGTTTGGTTTTGTTGTTGCTGTTTATTTTATGTGCACTTTCAACTTGGGCCCTTGTGCTTTCAAGGCAGATGCTGTATCAGCTGCACCATCTTCCAAGCCCTTGTATTTGGGCACAATGCTACCTTGTCAGTATTTTGAAGGTTAACCTCATAATAGGTGCTAACCAAATCTTCCCTGAATGAATTGAGAATGAGGAATGTGCTCTTTCATGTTTACTGAAAAGTCAGGAAATCTTCCCAGAGGTTCAGTCTCCCAGGGTACCAGTGATAGTGAAAGGTGATGGTGTCAACCAGCATACTTCTCTTAAATTCCTCAGCTTTTTCCCCATCTGTAAAAACCTATAGGTCCGAGGCAAGATGGAAGTGTCCCTGCTGTGGAAAGGATCTGATTTCTCAGTGGTTTGATCTCCCCCTCTGCACAGGAAAATGCTTCTGCTGAGATAGAGCTGCCTTTCATACTTAGAGAAAAGCTGAATTCCTCCACCTACTGTCCTCCCCCACAAGGACAAGGCTGTGTGTTAACGAAAGCTCATTTGGCCCTAGGTAGCCCTAACCATTCCCTCTGCAGTACCTCCCTCTTCTGATTGTCTCTTCCAAGCGAACCACTGGGGACTGCTCGAGACCACTGCCGACAACCGATAAATGCAGTCTTCAAAGCCACTCATCCATTCTTAATGGACAGCCCGTTAATTTGAGGTCTGGGTCATGAATTTGAATGCTGTGCACTGAACACCTCTTCAACAAGACACCCTGGCTTTGCCTCAGGGTAAATGGTGATTCATTAATTGTAATTAAATTAAGCTGGTGGCTTAAACTAGATGTGACAAAATGAAAATCCCCATATAAAACCTGAGGTGCATATCACAGGCCTTCTGTCAATAACATCTCGTTTTTGTCTAAGTGGATTTAAAGGCAACAAGATGCCTCTCCTTTAAAGGAAAAAAAAAGCTGCCTTAGCTAAATAGGGAAATAAATAACTTGGGTATGTTTCTCTCTTTCTCATGTAAAGCCTGGTGCGGAAACGAAGGAGGACTAATGATAAAGACTTGAAGCATGCCTAAGAATCCAGGTGGAAGGAGAGCAGTATTCTAGGGTTAGGCCATGCCACACTGGCTATTAAGACACATCCATCCTGCTGCTATCAGGGCATGAGTTGTGTCAATATAAGTAACAGTTACTGCCTAGCTTGGTGAACATAGGGACAAAATTCTTGGATGGAAGTCAGGACTTCTGAGATCTCAACGATCTTTACTGGGAAACTAGTGGTTAATCTAGGGACCCTTGTTTCATGGAATTTCTATCTCTGAAATAAGAGTCCTGTGTGGTGATATTTTGATTGTGATCTAATAAAGATCAGAGTGTAAAGCTAGCCATTAGTTACCCATAGAGGCCAGGCAGTGGTAGCATACCCCTTTAATCCCTTGTGAGGCAGAGGCAGACAGATCTCTTGAGTTCAAGGCCACCCTGGGCTACGTGAAATTGATCCAGTCTAAAGAGAAACAGAACCAGATGTTAATGGCTCATATATTTAGTCCCAGTATTTGGGAGTCACACACCTTTAATCCCAACACTAGGGAGTGGAGACAGGGAGGCATGGCAGAGGAGGGAGAGAGGAATATAAAGTGGGAGGATACAGGAGCTCAGGGCATTCAGTCTGGCCATTCAGTCTGAGGACTTGTAGAGACAGGATAACCCACTTGGTCTCAGGATTTGACAGAGGTAAGAACTAGTAGCTGGCTGCTCTGCTTCTCTGATCTTTCAGCTTTCACCCCCAATATCTGACTCCAGGTTTTTATTATTAAAACCAATTAGAATTTACACTACATCCCCATTTTTAAAGAAAAGGAAATTAAGTAGGACTCCAACATGCCACAGGCAAGCATGAAGCTCTACTTGTATGGAACAGAGACATTTCCCTCAGTAAACAGAACAGAGGAGCCCGGCCTGTGAGGTCACATTCTCATCTCCCACCCCACATGAGTCAAAGGGGGATGGGTGACAGAGGGACAAAGTGCAAATAGATTTGTCCCACTGGGTCTTGTCTCAATTATCTTCTAGCAACAAGGCTTGGAGAAAGCATGGTTTCTACCATGGCATTACCTAGGGCATGGTTACGCTCACAATTTAGCCCCACCCCCATGTCCAAAGGAGTAGACCGGGGATTGGAACTGAATACAGTAACTCTAGAATCTTGTGACTGCTTCTTCTGGCAACCCTTGTTCCTAAATTCCCTAGGATCCACTAAGGTTCACTTTATTAGCATAAGCTGAGGCGTGGATGAAAGGGGCTCGTAATAGATCACCAAGAACATGCTAAAAGAAAGACCAGAGTATTTAAAACCTGTGTCAGGAAACAGAGACCAAGGTGTAAATCACTTATCAAAACAGTACATTTCAGGGCTGGATAGATGGCTCAATGGTTACAAGCATACACTGTTCTGACAGAACCTAAGTCTGACTCCCAGCACCCATATCAAGAGGCTCACAACTGCCTCTCAGTCCAGTTCCAAAGGATTTGACATTCTTGCCTGAACTCTGTGGACACCTGGACTCACATCAAACTCACATATACACAAAAATAAAAATAAAATCTTTTTAAAATGCTATATTACCTAGTGTCCAGAAAGTCCTTTGAACACAAACTTCTTGAGTGACATTAAATTGTAAAAGAGATCAGAAAGATAGCTCAGTTCAAGTAAATAATTGAGAACCTGAGAGTCAGGACATTTGGCATGGGGGGGCATTGGAACATGAGGATGTCTGGTACCTTCTGTTGATGAGTCAGCCATGTCAGATATGTTATGTTATTGAAAGCTTTGTATACTTTTTATTCTGCATAAGTTGTCTGAATAGTGAGAAGAGAGATGATCTGCAGAGACTTTGAAACAGTTTTGTTGTTGTTGTTTACTGCCCTGGAAATGTGAAATTCCTGGGTAAGAACTTGAAAAGCAAAATCATAAAAGATAAACTTCTTAAGACTGTGATAAAATAGGCTGGATAGAGCTGGGAACTCAGGGCTGCCCCTAGACTTCAGACTATGTGTAGCCACGTTCAAATCCAGAATTAGATTGGTACAGTGAGAGATGGATGCTTGCATGTTCACTTGCTTGCTTTACTTGTGCTCAGCTCAATTATCTCCACTCAGACAGTCCAGGACCACCTGCCTAGGGAATGGTGCAGCCCACAGTGGACTGGCTGAGTCTTCAAATGTCAGTAAACTTAATTCCGACACTCCTCTACAGACATGACCACAAGTTGACCCAACATAGACAATTCCTCATTGAAACACTCTTAACGGGTGGTTCTAGGACATGTCAAACTGGCAATTAAAACTAGCTATCACAGGGGCTAGAGAGATGGATGGCTTGGGGATAAGAGTACCTGATGCTCTACCAGAGGAGCCGAGTTTGGTTCCCAGCACCCACCTCAGGTAGTTCACAACCATGGGGACTCCAGGGGATTCAACACCCTCTTCAGGCCTCCACAGGC